ACGGGACCCACCTTTAAATGTAGTTCTCTTACCCAGTGAGACTCCGTCGGAGAAAGTTAAGTTTTCCTTTGCAAGCAGATGTCAATTTTAGATAGCTTCTTGGTTAGGGTCAGGAACCTGTGTACAACATCCCCCTTTCTTAGCGCTGGGACCCTGTCTGACCTGTACAGGTCCTGCGCATGCTCCCACCATCTCTATGAATTTACAGTCCACCTTTTTTTGAGACAGGTTTTTCATGGTTCTGGATCTCCCCAAGGAGGCTAGATTGACTGACTAGTTAGCCCAGGAATCTTCCTGTCTCTGACTCCACATACTACCACTATGCCCAACTATTTCTCACTTAGGTTTCTGTTTCTCGAAACAGGGTTTCACTGTGTAGCCCTGGCTGTCCTAGAGCTTACTCTGTAGACCAAGCTGACCTCAAACTCACAGAGATCTGCCCGTCTCTGCCTTACAAGTGCTGGGCTTAAAGGTGTGCATGACCACCGTCGGGCTTGCCCAACTATTTTTAAATGTGAGTTCTGCAGAGTCAACTCACGTTTTCATGCAGAGCAAGCACTTTAGCAAGTGAGGCATCTCCTCCGGCCCCTGCCCCTGCTTTTTATGGTGCTATGGACCAAGCCAGGGCTTGTGGGTCCTAGGCAGTACCATAACCACTGAACGACATCTCCCAAACACACGAAGAAATTTTAGGCTGAGAGAGAGGAGTGGCCAGTAGCTTCTGCCTTCTAGCCAGGCAGCAGGAACACAGGGAATAGACTACTCATCTAACAGTGGTGACCTCTCTCACCTGAGGTGCACCCGGAACTTCTTCCCTTTTCTTATCTCTTAGCTGACTGACCAGCAGGCTCCCTTGGGTTCTGACATTCCTCAGGCCTAGGCAAGCCTTCTCCTTAATCTTGTGATCTGTCAACCTTAGCAGCCGCAAATTCTAATTGCTTTGACTCCGGCTCACTCAACTGTCACATGGTCTGGCAGCCCCAGTTCAGGTCTAGAGCCCCAGATATTGGACACCCGGGGGCTCTATCACCCTGTATCCCCCTCCCCCATGCAATCAGAAACAAACGCAACTGCTGCCTGCCACTGGCCTCCGATCGCTCACCTCCCAGGAGGGAGCTAGGCAAAGTCAGCTTTTGGCATACTTCTGGAAAGAATTAGGCTTGGTATGAATGTTCACAGGGAACACCCAGACATGGAGATGGTGTGCCAAGGGTACCCGTGTGATACCTCCCTATGTCCCCTTCTGCTACCTCCTACCCCATGAGAGGGCTGGCTGTCCCCCTACAAGTAAATGGTGCAGAACAAGCCACTTAGACATAGCACATAGCAGAGCAGCCTCTATTTCATTCTACCATCAGCACCCAGAGGGCAAGCTCCGGGCATCCTCTCCAGCAACCCAACACTCAGTACTGGCTCATAGATAGCAGGGTGCTCACATTTAAGTCGTTATGAAGGGAAACCAAGGAGCCAGACACCAAATTGCTAGGGTTGGCATTTAGAAGCAGATCATCCAAAGTCTCCTCTCTATATGCTGCCTGCCTTAAAAGCACCAACTGTTGGGGCCGGAAAGATGGCTCAGTGGTTAGGAGCACTGATTGCTCTTCTAGAGGACCCTGGTTCAATTCCCAGCACCCACATGGCAGCTCACAACTATTTGTAATTCCAGTTCCAGAGGACCCGACACTCAGCAAAAGCACCAATGGACATAAAATAAAAATAAGTAAATTTTTAAAAAAGTATCAACTGTCATGAGGCAAAAGTCATACATATTCCAACACATACTCAGACCCCCTACATATACAAGGCATACTTACACCCCGCAAATGTTCATCTACCATAAATTCCACATGTATGGGACATACTTAGACCCCACAAATATATATATATACCATACATTCTACATACCTACTCTGCATACTTAATCCCCCACACTCTACACACATACCTACCAATTCATACACTCTCACCTCATATATACCAGACCTCCTTGACATATACATTCACAAATACACAATCCACATATACACGGACCCACACACACATACCCCATATACAGCAGCTCCCCTCCACATATATACCTACCCACACACATACAGCACATACATATTCTCCCATTCCACATATACCAGACAGTACACATTCCATATACACACCTGCCCACATTATACATCAAACCCTCACATATACATGCCGCACACACATACACACTTATACACTAGCTCCCCACATATACACCCACACATCCCTTTTCCTTTGTGTTTCAATCCTAGTGGATTTAGAGCTTCTGCCATTGGTATGTAAAGATGCTTAGAGATAGAGCAGAAACTAAGTTCAGAATGGTGTGCCTAGCATGCTGGGCTATTTTAACATGGAGCTGCCATTCCCCCACAACTTGACAGTGTTCTGGAAAAAGGAAACATGAGGGCATTTTTATGAGGGGTGGAGGGCAGGAGGCAGAAGCTAAACAGAGCTCTCTCCAGATACTTCTGCCATGAAACAGTGGATCCCTGTGTGTTCTCAGCTCTCAGAGAGTCCTTGGCTGTTTAGTTCCTAGTAAGAAAAATATGAACAATTCCACATTGACTTGCTTAAAAAACCTCTCCTCCTCATCCTCTACGGACAGGTCTCACCTGACTGGGGCTGACAGTACACACAAGCAAGGTGCTGTCTAGTGCACAGCAGTACCGCAGGGGCCTTCCGTGTGAGACCCTCTGACCTGGGGGAACAGCAAGGAAGGGCAGCTCTATCTCCAAACCTAGTCCTGCTGCAGGGCTCCTGGCTGGTTCCCCACACCCACTCAGGACAGCATACTTTCAAATTCTCCTCCAGTTCAGAGGTGGCTAGTTCTTTTTTTATTTCCTGGGATTGGGATTCACTGATATTGATAGATTTCACCACATCTATTTTATTAAAAGACGTGTTCAAATGATATGTGACTACCGAAGAAAAGTAACCAGTGTTGAGGTGATAGCTAAGCATGCATGAGGACCCCAAGTTCCTGTCCCAGCACCCAGATATAAACTGAACATGGTAGCATGGGTTTGCAATCTCTGAGCTGGTGAGGTGGGGATGGAAGGATGCCCGAGGCTCACAATCTATCTAACCTAGTTTACCAATAGGCAAATCATAGTCTCAATGAGAGAACCTACCTCAAAAACCAAGGTGGATGACCATCCTGAGGAACAACAGCAGAGGTGGACTTGGGCCTCTACACACATATCCAAGTATACTAATTCTGCATACATGGACATACACACATGAAGCAGGGGTGAGTGTAATGATCTGTCCTGTCCCTTTAAGAAACAAGCCATGCCCACTCCCTCCCATCTGCAGAGGCAAGCTGATCTTCAGCTTCCAGCACAAGTCTCTTCCTTTCTCTTCCTCTCTCTTCCTCTCTCTCTCTCTCTCTCTCTCTCTCTCTCTCTCTCTCTTTCTCTCTCTCTCTCTTTCTCTGCCTCTCTCTCTGTTCTTCTCCCCTTTCCCTTCCATAACCCACTAAATAAACAGCCAACCTCACTCTGCATGGCGAGCCTATCCATGTCTCTGTCTCTCACCCACAGCATGGTTCCCTACCAGGGACCAAAAACCTTCAGAGAAGTGTGGTGAGGTCTCATGGGGTGCCCATCTGTCTATCTCTCCTCGTGAGACTGGCTGCCCTTTGAGGTCTCTCACCCACCACGCGGCTCCCTGCCTGGGACTTATGGCCTGCTGCAGCCACTTGGGGATTCGCAGCATTTTATTTTTACCATTACAGTGAGGACACATTTTCTTTATCATATCTCTGTGAGTTTCACATATTCTCTATGATCACTAGGAAGCAAGCAATTGGGGAAAAGTTTCCTCTGCGTGTGTTTTTCCCCTATGTCCCCAAAGTTCTTCAGGTTTCTTGAGTGGTTACCAAAGAAATGGTTGGCAGAGAATCATTTAAAATACTCACTGAAAGTGGAAATCTGTGTGAAGAGGGTTTGCTTCTGAGTCCATTTAAAAGACTCCCTTTGTCTGGTACCCTACAGACTGACCAGCTGGTTTCAGTGGCTCTGTTTCTTCTCAGTCCTTTGTCGGTGGCTGTTTCACACATCAGGGAGGGACTGGGTTCTCAGAAGTATAACTCCCTAATTTCATCCCTCCCTCACTGTGTGGGAGGAGGATGAAGAGAACTCTGGTGTGCTCCCCACATTCCTGCAAGACTGTGAGCTCAGTAAGTCTGCAACAAGGGCCCCATTTTATTCACCAGCCCCAAAGTCATCAAACGCTTCCTGAAGGGTGACCATATGTGACAGAATAAGGCCGGAGGGTCACTGGCTATTAACCTTAGCCGGCCACTTCTCCTAATCCTGTGGTAGCAGAGGGTGCTGGAAAGGCCACCTGACATTTAATGACTTGTTAGAAAACGTCAAGAGACACACAAATATCTAGCAAGTGATCTCTCCTAGAAGGCAAATTTAGAGGTGTTTTATTCAAAAAAGCTTCATGCCAGTAATCCCAGCACTCAGGGTGCTGAGGCATGGGGGGGTGGGGAGGTGGGACTGCCAGGAGGTCAAGGCCAGTTATATAATGAGTTCCAGAAAGCAAGGTATAGAATGAGACCTTGTCTCAAAAGAAAAAAAAAAAAGACTTCATTCCAGCTGGCAAAAAGAGCAGGGAACATGTAAGAAGGTGCAAGGACTGTTTTTAAGTCAGTTTAGCAAGACATGAGAAAGCAGCTGGCTCACACACACGTTCAAGGTCAACAGAAGGCAAAAGCCAAACTTGAAGAGCCGAGAAAAGAAAGCTGTTCTTCTTCCAGAAAGAGGCCCTTCTAAGTGTCTAACCTGTGCCTGGCGCTCCTCAGAGGGAGGCGGGGCTTCACTGTACCTCTCACTAGACACCCAGGCTGCATCTAAACTGAGCTGCCTAAGGACCAGGAGGGATTTCCTGACTACCCTTTTAAAATATCACCCCAGACCTGTGTGTCGATGTCGCCAAGAGACGCTGCTTCACAACACTGCTGCACCAGGCACTCTGATTAAATTAGTTTACTGAGTGGGGGTGGAGGGAGCATTTTGAGCACCACAGCGAGATTACCATTTCTATACAGTTAGTAGCGACATGGACAGGGCGCTCAGGGAGGGCCTGCAGACCATCCATGAAGTCACAAGCTGTCAGGCTGAGTGGACCGGGGTCCCACAGTGTTTGTGCCACAAGTCGATGGCCTTGCTCACAATAGCGTCAGAGCTGTCCTGAGGAATCTGTAGATAACAAAGACGTCCAAGTGAAATTCCTGTGTTTGTTCCCTCAGGATCTTCTCTCGTTCTGTGGCAGACCTGTTTCCATGGAGCTTTCTCTGTTTTTTGGAAGGTGGTAGCAGATTCGGAATGATTTAATGCTCCTGGGACATACTGAGTGGCTCTGGTACCAGGCCATCTTTCCTTGCCCACTCACCACTTAGCCTTAGACAAGTACTTGGCTGCCTAAGGTTCAGCACTGATCTCTAAACAACATCCCAAGTTCACAGAGCTATTCATGGGATGACAGAAGGGAGCTCTTGCCTGGCACATGCCTGGCACTGTTGGCCACTAATTAGTATAACAGTGGTGATTCACTTAATGAACACGAACACATTCACTTAGCTCTTACTATTTACCAGGCCACACTTCACATGTTAAAGCTGGTTAATTAAGGGGGGAGGGGCTCTGAGTATGCTCCATGATGTACTCTCAGCAGGCATAATCTCTTTACTGTTTACCCAGGAGAGAAGGTTCTAAGAGGGAGGAGGAGCTGGTTCACTAGGCCTTTTCAGCATTCACTAACAATTGCATTAAGCACCCCAGCTAGGATTACACCCGTGGCAGGAAAAGGCCTAGAGAACCCCGACAGTGCTCACTCACATCGCCTCCTGTTCCTGCGGTGCTCACTGGGGAGAAGGCTACCCCACTACACTCACACCCCAGGAGTATGAGTAAGGGGCTTGTCATGCAGACTGGCATCCCCAAAAGAAACAGGGAGACAGCAATACTGTTAAGGAAAAGTAACTTTCTTTTCCTTCCAGGAGTGGGGTGCATGACTGTAATCCCAGCATCCAGGAAGCTAGGGCAGGAAGATTACCAAGAACTGGAGGCAGCTGGGGATATATAGAGAGTGTTCCAGGCCAGGATGAGTTACAGCACAAATCACAATCTCAAACCAACAACAACAAAATACTTTGGTGGAGTAGAACTATGCTGTTCACGTAACACAACAGGAAGATCTGGCTCGCCAAACTGCTTTCATGTCCAGATTCCAAATCCCAGGGGACAAAGCACTCACGTTCTCCAGGAACTTCGTTATCTTCTCCGCGCTGCTCAGCGCCATGACTTTCATCTTAAAGGTTAATAATATTTCTACTGCGACAAAGACTAGGATCTTACAGGATCCACTGACAACTTTATCCCAGACCCTGGAAAACAGAGATCACCAAATTACAGGTGTGCAAAACTGGCGTTACCCAGACAGCTCAGATCATAAAGTCAGACCAAATTCCACTCGTTTTCAGTATGTTTCAGACAGCAACTGTGAAATAATCAGTGACAACACGACAGGTGAGCCACCGAGACGATTCTAGATAGGGAAAAATGAAGTTCACTTAAAGTCGCTGCTGCGCTAGAATGTTCCAAATGCCTGCTGAGAACTTGACAGCGAAGGAAAAGACAGTCCTACACCGGGGTGTGCATCCTGCTACAGTCATGTGATGCCAGCTTAGCTACCACACACCACAGGACAGCAAAATGTCAGAAGTCATTTCATTGCCAGTGAAATGAGAACCAGAGTGGGTTCTCTAAACGTATTGCAGGGCTTTTCATGAGTGTGTATGTAACATGCCTGGGTGTAGGGACACAGGCACATACGTGTAATTGCTTGTGGAGGCTGGGGTTGATTTGGGTAGCTCCCTCTATTGTGTTCCACTTGATTTTTTTGAGATAGAGTCACTCACTGAACCTTATGCTCACCAGCTGACTAGACTAGCTATCTAGTGAGCACCAAGGAGCTGCCTGTCTCCACAGATACCCCTGCCAGCACTTGCTTTACGGAACATGCCATCATACCTGGCTTTTTACATGGTTGTTGGGGATTCAAACTCAGGTCTTCATGTTTGCACAGCAAACAACTGTACCCACTGAGCCCTTCCCAAGGCCCGGGAGCCAGTCCTTGACCTACTATTACTCTAAAATAATGATTTGATAATTCCTATAACTTTTGAAGCTGGTAGTAGACTCTGCGTGCTACGTTACACATTTTCTTCTAATGCTCTCTCTATACTGACTTCTTTCTTGAAGCCAACATCACAAAGACCCAGGTTGGGGGGCTGAGACTAAGAAATACCCTTAACATGTGTCTTAGCTCTTTTGAGGATGCCACACAAAGGTGTCTATCTGTCAGGAACTAACCCTGTTCAGAAAAGAAGCCCACCGGACCCCACTGTTTCAGCCACCACTGCCTCACGGCATTCGCACAGAGGCCCACAAGCTCCGTAGGTGTGTCTCCAACAACAAGGAGAACCACGTTAGGTACAGAAATCGCCAGGGGATGTAGCTTTGCATCCCCTTCTCATTCTGAAGCAAATTAGAGGATGGTCACATAAGGGCCAGGAACTCTTTCCGACTCCAAGCTGCCTGTATGCAGTGGGAAAACACATACCTCTGTAAACTGGATTCAGGCAGACATCCGGCAAAGCACCTTTTGAACCAGAGATCATAAGGAAGTTTGGACACGGCAGAGCAGGTCTTCAGGTGACTCAGCAGCCTGCTATCTTCCAGATTCAAGTACTGTTCAAAAGCCTTGGGCTAAAGGTGACATGCAAAAGTGTCACTCACTTCCTGTGACATAATGCCACCTCATGCTGCAACTTACGCTGAAAAAATGTGTGTGCTGAGTAAGAGAAAGTACTAGAAGACAAAGCTTGAGAAGCATCAAGTCCATCGTAATGCGACAGGCTTTGGTCGGTACTGACAAGGGTGACCACACTGGAACTGCGGGCTTTCTCAGGACGCAGGGCTCCTTCAGTGCTCACCCCTCAGGACAATATCCAGGCAAAACGGAACGGCTGCCACCAGGAACTGCACTAATCAGATCCAACAGCTAAGGCCGAGCCTAAAGCAAGGGTGAGGTATTATGGAAAGCTACAAAAGGCCCATGGCAATACTGGGCGATCTGGAGCTATCATATGAAGAGCTGAAGGGAAGAAAGCTGCTGAGGTGTGGCAAACATCTAATATATATAATAAGAATGATACATACATATATGTGTATGTGTCTACACACACACACTCTGAAGCCAAGAAAACAATAAAAATATATAAAGCTGACCAACTTCACTGGCCCTCAAGGCTGTGTCAGGAGGAGCGAGAGGGCAGGGCCACTGTTTGAAGGACATGACTTGACTTACAGCCTTGTACCTGCACTCAGGACCTGCCTGCCAGGTTAAGATGTAAATTTGCCCAGACTGCGGCACACACGCACACACGTACACATGAGCAAGGGCGTGTTTATTGTCAGTGTGAGGCTATTAGACTTAATTACAGCAAATTCGTAAAAGGAAACACTGAGTAAATTAGTAGGAAAAGTGATTCTAAATGATAGGCTGTCAATCCTAGCTACAAGCACAATTGCCTAAGTCTTCGAAACATTAGAATTCCAGGCCCATCGAGAGACTCTGATTTAATTGGTCTGGTGGAGGAAGATGGGGCATAAGAAATTCTCCAAATGTCTTGCGTACTAACAGGAAGTCAGAACTGAAAGCCACTAGTTTGTCTGAATGAGCCTAGAAATTCTCCACATACTGAAATAAACAACAACAACAAAACAAACAAACAAAAACGGTAAGACCCGTGTGTAGAGTAATACATTTCATGTGTTCATATGTATGCATGTGTACATATGCGCATGCTGGAACAAATGACAGGAGCCTGGAGTCCCATCCACCAGCCCTGGCTGCCCTCGCTCTGCACTTGAAGGTATGTGGGAAGAAGGAGCCCTGTCACTTAGGCCTTCTGTACACATGGGCAGACAGAAACCCTAACTAACCAAGTGACCACGCTAGGTAAGCCATTGGGTCTGGACCAGGTCAGGACTACTCCAGAGCAGGCGGGGCCGCAAGCGAGTCCAGCCCTGGAGACCCGACAGTGCTCCAACAGCAGAAAAGGAGACACGGGGCCCACTCCATGGGGAACACCTCTGGTCTTTGCAGAAAACATCTGTCAGAAGCCACTATAGAGGGTCCACCTGTCACAGCAGCAGCAACTGGGGTAACAATGTCCCTGGCACTGCTTATTCCCCAACACTCCCATTCAAAACACGCAAAACCCTTACCAGCTGAGGTAAAGAATCCCGGAACTTGCTATTTAACTGCTTCACGAAGCATCGGGTGATCCAGTAACAGTCAACGCTATCCTCCACCATCTCCTCCATGGCTTTGGCAATGGCGAGAAAGACGTCATCCTCCGGCTCCTGAAAGATTAACAATGACTCTCAAGAGGGAGGCAGCAGAAGGGAAGATATGTTTCTTCACTGAAAATGGAACAGTGCCCCTACATCCTGAAGAGGACACATTAATAAATCAGAGAGACACCAGAAGGTAGAGTGTGTCAGAAAGAAAGGAGCAAGGGGAGGGAAGGAAGGGCAGCCACAGGGAACCATGGGAGTCAGCATGGCTGAACAACAGCTGGCTCTTGGGTGGGGTCTGCACAGGCAAGGCAGGGCCTCTCCCACGCAGCCAGTCTCCATGTTAGATCAGTGTTAGGGGAGGCAGGATCTCCCCACACAGTCAGTTTCCATGCTAGATCAGGGGTCCTTCTATGATGACACAAACCACTTTGGAATGTGTCTCAGTACATAGCTTACAAATACTGGGGGACTCCAAATGGGCCCACAAAACACTGATTATGTCAAAGCTTCCACACATGGCTTCAGAACGCTGTTCTACCTCAATTTTTAACAGCCCAGAATCAGAATTTTAGGAAGCAGAAGGACACTACTCAGATCTGTTAATATGAAAATAAACCCTCAAGTAATTTTCAACAGAGGACTCTTATAAAACTGAAACCCTATTTGTAAAGTTATTTTATTTTCAAATATTACCATCAACACCAAAAACCAAACAAACAAACAAACACAAAAAACAACCAGGAGGCACAGGCCTGTGAGTTCAAGGCCAGTATGGTCTACAGAGTGAGTTCCAGGGCAGCCCTGGCAACCCTGTCTCAAAAACAAAACAACAAAAACCTTACATTTTCATCTAGACTGTCATAGTTTGATACTTTTAATATTAAAAGGAAATTAAAAAATACCTTTCTATTCCCTGAGAAGTCCCAAGTTAAATAAAAATTTCCTGTTTTAAATAAAAAGCACTTCAATCTTAGGTTTCCTTTCAGCTTGTTGATATCCACAAAATGCAAGCAGTCAGGCTGGAGAGATGGCTCAGTGGCTAAGAGCACTGGCTGTTCTTCCAAAGGACCCAGGTTCAATTCCCAGCACCCACATGGCAGCTCACAACTGTATCTTCAGTTCCAGGGAATCAGACACCTTCAGAGAGACCTATGTGCTGCTAAAACACCAATGCGCATAAAATAAAGACAAATCATTTTTTAAAAAGTTTAAAAAAAAACGCAAGGAGTCACAGAGTTAGGATTAACAGAAGTGTATTTCTCTAAACAGTGTTAGACTATTGGGGGACACAAAGAAGTAAGGAAAAGAAACCTAGGATTCCACAGTCCTAGGCTGGGCCTGGTGACCCTGTGGATGGCCCATCACTCTGACAGGCCAAGGGGAAACTAATGTCCTTCCCCCAGTTGTGATCCAGTGCTCACATGCTCCTCAGACCACAGCGTAAGGGGGCTGAGTGTGTACAGAGAGGCAGGGAGACAGAGGCCCCCACCCACATTCAGACAGCACGCCAGCACGTGCACCTGAGACTGCAGGGGAGGTGTCAGGACTCAAAGCATGGACCAGTGAGCAGGGATGAGTATGAACCAAAGTGTGGACCAGTGAGCAGGGATGAGTATGAACCATGCCTATCACTTCGATTGCTTAAACTAACACAACAGCTAACCTTATTGAACTCGAAGCCCTGTTCGTAGTGTGGGCCTGTTGTCTCAATTACTCAGGGAACTAAGGCAGGAGGACTGCAACTGGGCAACTTAGTAAAAGGTAAAATAAAGGATGCTAGGGGGCAAGACATGCAGCCAGCAGCAGAGCAATTGCTTGGCACCTAAGAGGTCACAGGTTCAATTCCAGAAGCACACAGCTCATGTGGTACTAACAATGTCACAGTGCTGACTCTGAGTAATAGGAAAACACACACACACATATATGGAGAGAATGAGAGACAACTTGGCATGCATGAATATGCAAGGATGAATATACATACTCACATATATTTTTTACACCTGTCTACTAAGTGAACCTAAAAGCAAACAGCCCAGGAAACCAGTATTAAGTGAACACCCAAAACTTAATATTTAGGGGCTCTTCTGCCTCTTCATAACTGTAATGGTCAAAGTGAACAGATGGCCCTTATTGGTGCTAATTTGGCATGGGAACTCTAATGTTAACTGCCTACATATATAGAAAATAAGTCAGTTATTTTTGAGTCAAGCTCTCACTATGTAGCTGGACTCAAACTCAAGCTCCTCCCCTCTCAGCCTCCGAGCACTGGATTAGAAGTGGTGCACACTTGGCTCACAGCCCAATCTTCATTAAAAACAAAGTTTGCAGATAATCAAAGCTTACATGCAAATCCTTGCTTGAAAAATTCATTCTGTTTTAGCCAAATAAATTAAACCTTCATTAAAATACCTAGACAACTGCAATAAAGTAACCAGGAGTGACTGACAACATTGGTTGGAAAAAGAGCCAGGAACAAACACCTTAGGATAATGGGAACTTTTTAATATCTGCAACAGGGAAGGTTAAAAATGACCTTGTGATATTGGGTTGGAATATTGGACTTACCATTGTGAACCCAGGATTTTTATTATAATTTAGAAAGATACACACTAATACATAAAGGCTTGGGGTCTAACTCAGCAGTAGAACACTGGTCTGGCATGCATGACACTCTGGGTTCCATGCCCAGCAGCACAACATCTATATCTTTTTATACACACACACACACACACACACACACACACACACACACACACAGAGAGAATGAGAGACAACTTGGCATGTATGAATATGCAAGGATGAATATACATACTCACATATATTTTTTACACCTGTCTACTAAGTGAACCTAAAAGCAAACAGCCCAGGAAACGAGAAACAAAGGCCCAGGCCAGAGCTGCAGCGCAGGAAGTAAAAGCTGATCCCAAAGCATCTTTCTGTGATGAAATGTCAGGGAATATTCACAACAGTGGAGTATCAGAAGGACACAGGTGTCAGATGAAAGGGGCTCCCGCTGGCCGAAGCTGGAACATTTTGAACAACAAAAGAAAAGCATGGCAATAAAATAGTGTAGGCTATTGAGTTAAAAGGGTTCCATACATCCACAATGACATCAATAAATAAATGCAAAGGGAAACTCATAGATGCGGCTAACAGTCCCAGAGCGAATTCGGGAATTAGGGAATCACCATTTGGCAATTCGAGCAGCAAAAAACATTTTAGGCAATAATAGTGATAATAATAATCGGGTGGGTATTTACAAGCCTCCAGATTCCAGGCAGCTGGCACACACCTGTAATCCCAGCACTCAGGAGGCAGAGGCAGATGGAGCTCTGTGAGACCAGGCCAGTCCATTCAGTCAGGGTTACACAATGAGACTCTGCGTGTGTGTGTGTGTGTGTGTGTGTGTGTGTGTGTGTGTGTGTGTGTGTGTGTGAAAGAGAGAGGGAGAGAGTAAGAGAGAGAGAGAGAGAGGGAGAGAGAGAGAGAGTCTCAGAGTTCCTTTCCATTAGTTACTCTCTAATTACAAAGAGTAATCTTACAGGGGAGGCGCCTGGCAGGTAGCACCTGCACCAAGTGATCAAAGTTACCAGTACTTCTCCTGCTATCCTTACCAGCAAAGCATAGCCAGGTTCTAGTTATCAGGAAACATTGAGCAAATGGAGAAATCCCTAAGAGACTCTGGTTCTTCAAAAGTGTCAAGGTCACAGAAGTCCAAAGAAGTCTGAAGGACAGTGGGTTTAGGACCAAGAATGGCAACTAAGTGTAATGGTGATTCAGAATGGTGTCCGAGGTCAGAGGGGCATCAGGGCACAGGCAGTAAGATCTCGAAAAGATGTACAACTTAGTTCCTAGCCTGGTGTCAAAGCTAACTCGTAAGTTCTCGTCATCACTCTGCGGTTTTGGAAGATCCAGTAAATGAGGATGCTAAGCAAAGGTGTACGCGGGTGGTGTACTATTTTATAACTTTCTTCTGTGTCCAAAATTACTTAAAGATGAAAGACATATATACATACAATTGAAACCAATGAATGGCCAAATGTATGAGCCAAACTTTAATAAGGTAGAGCTAATTACAAGGCAGTTTTAAATGTCTCCCCACAAAGGGAAGAAGTGGTTACAAAGGGAGAAAGGATAACTCCCCAGTAGAAGTATAGCAGGCACTGCCTTACCTAGAGATCCGCGTTAATGGATGTTCCATGAGGCAAAGCCAAGTGAGCCTCCCGACACAGTACACTGCGGACACATCACCCATGAGTGGCCCTGCCTGTATCACAAGGAGGGAGCACAGGCGAACCTGAAGTGAGGGGTTTCTGTAAAATTACTGACCAACACTTGTCAAAAGTGTCAAGGGCATGAAAGAGAAAGACAAGAGACCCATCCAAAATCAAAGGTGTCCACACAACGTGGCAACTCGGTGTAACCCACAAAACTGAATGTTTAGCTAGACCTTTTGTTTATTTGTGACGAAGGGCATCCCGAGAACAACTGGGCCAATAAGAATGGAGCTCGCAGGTCAGACTGAGTGCTGTCACAGCGCTGACTGTGCAGTGCTCACCTACAGAGATACTGATGGACCTGAAGGACCAGAGCATCACAACTGACGCTCGCTCTCTTGGGGCCTATACAAAGAAGTGTGTGTGCAGAGCCAGAAATGGTGGTGCACGCCAATATCCCAGCACTCATGCGACAGAGGCAGGAGGATACTGAGTTGGAAGCTGGCCTGTTCTGTATTCATGGGGAGAATTTGTCTCAAAAAAAGACAAAAGTGAGGTTGGATAGATGGCACTGGTTGTTCTTCCAGGGAACAATGGTTTGGTTCTCAGCAGTGCACAACCGTTTGCAACTCCAGTTCCAGGAAATCCAACGGCAGGCAAGTGGTTCACAGACATACAGTAGGCAAAACACCCATACACCTAAAATAAAATAGTTTTTAAAGACGGAAGGGAGGGATGGAGGAAGAGAAAGAAGGAGGGAGAGAGGGAGGGGAAGAAAGAGGGAGGGAGAGGGAGGGAGGAAAGTACAGACATGGGAGAGAGTGGCAAAGCAGATGTCACTAAATGCTAACAACTGGAAATGTCATTAAAAAGCTATAGAACTTCTTGGTAGTATTTTTGTGCCCTTTCTTCAAGTTTGAGATTATAGCCATGCATCCCATAACGTTTTAGTCAGCCATGGACCCATCTAGGATAGTGATCCTCTATGATTAAACTGCCTAGTAATGTCACAGTCATTTGCGTTTGAGCAAATATAAGTACATGATGTTTGCAAATGAGCAAATGTCTAGTGACACACTTCTCAGAACACAGATCATCACTAAGCAATGTGTGACTATGCCTAAAACAAAACACAGTTTAAAATGACTAACAGTGATTGTTCAGGACCATAGAGCCCAGGTAAAACTTGCTTTCATTGTTCATTGTACCAACAATAGGAAATCATTGAAAGTTTCTAAGGCAAAATATTACGCAATGGAAGCTAGCAAGAATAAAGGTTTAGAGGTGTGGCTCAGTGGTGGAGTGCTTGCCTAACATTCATGAAGAATGAATGAATCCACAGCTCTGAGAACACATTAGAAGACAAAGAAAAACGTAATTTTTAGAGAAAGGGTTGAGTTAAATGCCACGTGAGAATGACCACTCACCAGTGGAAAAGAGGGACTTCGAGGCAGCTTCCCAGACTCAAGCTGGTACATGCGAAGATACACTTCAACCTGAGGGGTGGCATCATTGACGAAGCGGACTACCGTCAGCGCATGAAGGACATCAGAGTACTGATCTTTGCGGTAGGCCATCACCTTGGCATGAGAGTCATGGTGTGGAGGCAAGATCCCTACACAGGGAGAGGGGACAGGAAAAGGGCAAAGGCTGAGACACCCACGCAAATCCTTCCTCTAGTGGGAGGAATCCTGTGAGAAGCAGCGCACACAGCTGAGACGATTCTCTTTTGGAAAATGTCACTCGAAGACTCTTAAGTGGTGTGAGCTTTGTGAGACGGTGCATCACTGATATTAGAGAGAAATGGAAGGCGCCACAGAAGCCTTTGAGCCATATGTGACCTAACTGCAAGACAACAGTCACAGCAATTGTAATAATAGTGCAACTCAGCTCCTGGCGGGCAGCTGAGGGTACCTTTAGCTCCTGGGCCACTCCCCACTTCTGCACTTGCCCTCCTACATCTTAGAATAATTTGTTGAATCCTTTTCTCCCTCAATAGCTAAAACTTATCCACAGAATATCCTATTCCTGGGGCAAAAGAAGCCCACGGTCTTCATCAATAAGATCATCTTGCATTTCCGTGACACTTTATGGTCATTACTTAACTATGCTGCCTGCTCATTAGGCTTTAGAATGAAAGTGTGTGTGTGTGTGTGTGTGTGTGCGTGTGCCTCTCTGTGTGTGTATGTGCCTGTGTGTGTGTTTGTGCAAGTGCCTGTGTGTGTGCATGTGTGAGTGTGTCTGTGTTTGAACGTGTGCCTGTGCGTCCGAGTGTGTGTGAAGAGGGTGACTCTGTGGAATCAGGTCCCTTCTTTCACCTCTACATGGATGGTTCTGGAGAATGAACTCAGGCTGCCACGTTCATTCACTAAGTCATCTCATCAAACTCCTTCTTTATTTATTTTTTTAACAAGCAAATGGCTTAGTGGAAACAATGGGAGATTACTGGCCAGGTCTTCGGTGATGCTGGGCTCCAGTCTCAGATTGGCTAGCACCAGGACTCTCACCAGTGTTCAGTCTATCACATTGTGGGCATTTTGTGCCCTCATCTAGCATAGGAAGGAGTGGGACAGACAAGCCCGACACCAAATGCTTCCTGAAGAATCAGAGCCCCAAGCACCAGCACAAGAAAACGGACTACAGAACGAGAACAAGGCATTGTTAAGGCTCAATTTGCAGAGAAACGATGTTTCCACTTTATTTATTCCAGTCCCATTAACGTAATGAGGCTGTACAGAGTCAGAGACTCTGGGGTCAGATTCCTGGGTTTGAGGTCTGACTACGATTCACTGACTAGAAGATCTTCAGCAATGCCCTCTGTCTCCTGGGCCTCATCTTCTCCCCACCTGAAAACTAGAGATGATACAACCTAAGTCTGCGAGCTGTTGTGACGAAAGGACAAACTCACAAAGTACTCGGAACGGCAGCTGGCACACACCTGTCAGGCAGCTCATTTGACCCCCACTCCCTTTTGATGCAAAACCCCACAGACCAATTATTCTAAAGAATGTTCCAGGAAATAGCAGCTAAGACAAATTCAACAATCCCCAAGCAAAAAACATACTTTAAGTGTCCTTTCTTGATGTAAACTCAGCGTGTCTGTGGGGCTCTGTCCCACGTTCTCAGAGAAGTCAAGGAACATACTTCAATCTCCTCCACAGCTGGCTCGTACACACTAAAGAGCTATAGCGGAACCTACCATAGGCAGCAGAATGTCAAGTATCAAACCTGGGTCTAGAGTTCATTCCAAAGCTCTCTCTGACATTTCCCTAAAATGGTCCAAAGAGGCAGAAACCAGGGAGCCCAAAGCAACTACGCTTGGGCTACAAAGAGCCCTTCATACTGTTCACAACTCTGCATTTCTAGCGCTTCTAACAACGGCAGAGAAACAGTGGCTTAGGCGATAAAGATGGTAAGAGAAACTCAGGTAAAAAGTCAGTCTGGCCTTGGCACTCAGGAAATGCCACAGACACAACATTTCCCATTAATAAGACACACAGGGTATCCCGGAAGAAATGGGTACTTATGGTAACTGCCTAAAATGGACCCTTAGAAGGAATTCAATTGCTGAGTCCAGAGTCTTTATGTATTCAAAGGGGAAAAATGCTTCGAGGAAAACTTAAACAGTTATCATGAATTCTGTAGATGGTCACCACACACACCCAACCAAACACGAATGAGCACACCAAAGCTGCCAAGATAGTCAACAAAGCCATCCGGAGAGATTTCTAGAGTGCCTTGCAGTCCCTTGTGACCTCCATACTGCATGGCCAGACTGAGGGCTACAGAGTCTCAGGCTGTGAAGATACACTACAAAGGCAGCATGTGGTCTGTTAGCCAACCCCACCTACTCCCGCCCTTCGAATGAGCTCAGCGAACCTAGGCTTTAATTCCTCGTCTGTCCCAGAAATTAGGTGAGAATTTTTAGGCTCCTAGGGTCTGTGTCCATCTAGGATAGTTAAGGCTTCCCTCAGAAGTCTAGAATTACTGTACACGGTTTATGTAAACTATTTAACTTAAGTAATGGAACCCACCGATGCCCAATAAAGAGCAACAGTTCGTATTCCTCATAAAGCTCCATCCTTACCCCTGTCTCACAGTTAGGAAACATCAGCTGTTTAAAGAAGAAATGGAGCTGGCAGTGGCGGTGCACACCTTTAATCCCAGCACTTGGGAGGCAGAGGCAGGCGTCTCAGAGAGTTCAAGGTTACCCTGGTCTACAGAGAGAGTTCCAGGACAGGCAGGGCTGTTACACAGAGAAACACTGTCTCGAAAACACACACACACACACACACACACACACACACGCACGCACACACAGAAGAAATGGAGGGCGATAATGAATGGGGATTAGATGTTCCAGCAGGCTCAACAATGGTGGGGAAATCCTGGGGTCAAAGGGATGCTGTGAGCTGCTTATGGCAGACACTGAGCCAGTTCTCCTTCTTATGTCACCACTCAGCGCTCAAATTCACTCAGGCTTCTAGGCAGAAAAAATTCTTGATTCCTCCCTTTAAAAAAAATCTGCCATATCATTTTTATTTTCAAAGGATAAATGGGCATTTATGTACTTCAGATAGAGACAGATTCAGCTAATTGTGGTGTAGGCCAATAACTAAACACCTGATTCTATGGGAACAACACCACTGAGGAGGCTGTTCTATACTAACTCTTTGACCACTTCACTTGTTACACTCTGATGCACTTAAATGAACCACATTCTTCAATCCTTTGTCAATATGGTTCCTCTTGTGGGGACTGGAGTGTTCCGTTTTGTGGCTGAGGCTTTTCTGAGACTCACAGTTCAGTCCAGGCCTCAAGCTCTAAGACCCTCAAAGGGTTAGAAATCCGGACACTTGCCACAAAGCCTGTCTGCTTCCTTAGCATCAGGACCTCACACCTCTACCACCGAGAGCCCAGAGTACAATGAACTCCTATGTAAAACCTAAAATCTGGATGGACGCAAAACTGGAGCCCACCGTGGTCTTCCTCCTGGTTACCCAGATGGCAGCAAAGATGGCCAGTTCTCCTTTCTACCAGCCCAATGTCATAATTTTCACAGCTGATGACCACAGATCCCCACCAGACACCTGAGTGCACAAAAAGGGCTTTATTTCAGGAACGAATATTATCTTCTCTACAGCTACTAATAAGCAGAAACTCTAAGACTAATTGTTAGTATAATTCTGCTGAAGTCACTGCCTTAAAGGCTTTTACAGTGAGCAGCAACTGGCCCTCCTGGACTAGACCCAAAAGTCAGCAAAGAATCTAAGCAAATCCTCCTCTCCTGCCTGCAAGATGACAAAGCATCCCATTCAATACTTTCGAAGTTAAATTCCCCAACTCCCGGGTCTCATACCTAGAAGCACCTTCCATACCAATGCACGGTACATGGATGGGAGAGGGAACCTCTGGCTGAAGGTGCAGAGCTTCTCAATGTCTAAAGGAAGAAAGAGAACAATTAGAAATGTCACGTGGTGTCACAGCCCCTGAAAGTGCAGCTTCACTAGTTCAGACGCCTTCAGAAGACATCCACCGCAGGACCAGCAACTTAGGCCATAGCGTTCTCATTTCTAGCCCACAGCTTCTATCAACGAAGCTATCTAAAACAGCGCTCTTGCTGCACAGAAATGATTTTACATACATTACTGCATTCCCTCTAACATTAGCTGGAATTACAAAATACGGAATTGGGGTGGGGGAGGGATACAGTGTTGCTCAGTGGTAGAGCATGTCTTAGTATGTGCAAGGCCCTGGGTTCCATTCCGAGCTCTGCCAACAACAAGCCCTTTACACAACTTAAGTTTGTCTTTATACTATGGTTCTGTTTTACTGTAACAATAGATTACTGTTGTTGGCTTAAGATAAACTAAGTATCAATGCGTAATGAAGGGTTATCTTCCACAAGATAATTTTGCAGAGTTTACCTAGAAACCATGGTGATACAGCTAGAAATTGAGAGAAAATATATAGGCTTAATTAAAAATAAATAGTATTGAGTTCTTTTTAAAGGTGGGGTGTCTCACTACGTATCCTCTGGCTGTCCTGGAACTTTCCATGTACCCCAGGCTGCCCTTGGACTCATAGATCCCTCTGCCTCTGTCTCTTGAGCATTGCAATCAAAGTTCTGAACTACTACACTCAGCGGCATCGAGTTTTTAAGAAGATTTTTCACAACCTTTTGCCTCTCAGTGAATTTGAAAAATCTTTAACTTTTCTCAAATTACACCACTCTGGCATGTCCCTTCACCAAAAAATACAGCAAGTGGGGCTGGAGAGATGGCTCAGAGGTTAAGAGCACTGGCTGCTCTTCCAAAGGTCCTGAGTTCAATTCCCAGCAACCACATGGTGGCTCACAGCCATCTGTAATGAGATCTGGTGCCCTCTTCTGGCCTGCAGCATATACACAGACAGAATATTGTATACATAATGAATAAATACATATTAAAAAAATACAGCAAGTATTAAGTACTGCTTCGAGTCCATTAAGTTACTATTTACTTGGTAATGCCCACTAGGACTGAGAACCAATAAACTTGCACAGATAAGGCTCACCCAAAGGGTCATCTTTCAGGAGGATTTCCAGAGATTTCTTTTCTTCAACTCCCCGAAATCCCACTTTCTCATAGTAGACTGATCGAAAGTTTCTCTGAGAGTCATCAGTCATATTTCATTCTTAGAGGGTTTTTTTTTAAGTGTGCCTAAAAACAGAGAGAAGAATTGGGAAGACATTAAGTTATTTTCTCTGCCTTTTCAATTAAGTCAAATATGAAAAAAATGCCTGCCCCTAACCAAGGAGCATTAAATCTTTGAATTCACACAACTCGAATCCCACCCTCCTTATGCATCTGGTCAAAAACAAGATATGAGTTAGCTGTCCTCTAAGCCACACAAAAAGATGACATAGAGTGTAGGGATTAAGGTTCATTCTTTACTTGGAAGAGCCCCTAGTACAATGAAATATCTTGTAGCCATTATAAACTTGTGAATAGAAAAGGTACAGGCAGTTTATGTTATGTTATGTAAAAGGGGCTAACCAAGGGTATGTACCCTGATTCTGCATCCAGTTTTACAACTAGGATCTCACTAAGTAGCTCATGACGGCCTCAAATTCAAAGATTTGTGCCTCTGCCTCCTGAGTTCTGAGATGAGAGGTGTTGGGCCACCACTCCTGGCCCAAGATAAGCATTTTTTTAAAAAATAAGAAGACATCCAAAATATTAGCAACAGTTATCTTCAGGTAGGAGTCTAGTGACTTTAATTTCCTTTGTTTTGCTTAGCTGTGCTTTCTAAAATGGGCATTTGGGGAAGGAAGAAGAAAAAATTCCTGCCCTTGCCCTTATATTTTTTTGACTGTAAACATAATTTTGCCAAATGTAATTACCAAAATTCAAAATCTCCAAGAGATTAAACAGCATTAAAGTATAGCCAGAAGACAGTTAGTAATGTGGACGGATGGCAAGTGACAGCACAGTCAATGGAAGGCAGAAAACCGAGGTAAAACCCAGCGTGACCATTCAAATCATCTCAGTGGCCCACCATTCCTTCAGAACAGTCTTCCTGATGCTGGTGGTAAACCAAGAAAGATCGAACTAGGTTAGTGAGTCAGGCACTAAAGATACAAACATTCTTCCAAAGAATAAAGACCTCAGCTACTAAAAGCCCCCGAGACGTCCCCAAAAAGCAAGGGAAAATGGATTTCTTCCTTGGGCCGGGAAGATATCATCTGAATATAATCTGTCACGGAAAAGATTATAATTCATTTTTGCAAAAGCAATTTAGAATTGCTTTGAAAGAGTTCCACGCTCTTCTGACGGCTGTATTTTTTTTTCAATCCAAAACATTAAAAAGCAAACTCTGGGATTCTTTTCTTTGTTTTTTTAAGCACTCATGCACTGTGATGGCAAAGGCGTCGCCCTGAAGGGCGTGCTACCAATTCCTGCCCAGGTGCCTCCACCTGCGGGTAAGGTGCCGGTACCCGGTGACGCCCCAGACCCCAATCTCCCGGCTATGAACGCTTCACCTCTAGTAGAGCAAACACACCGGGTTCAGACTAAGAGACCTGCGAAAGCAGAGAAAAGCAGGTTAGGCGCGCTGAGCCACAGGCGGGCAGGCGGAACCAAGCACCGGGGCGGAGCGAGCGAGGGGAGCAACGTCGCGGGACACGAACGCCCGCTCCGGTCTTTCTGTCCGCCGCTAAATCCCGCCGCCGGACATGACGTCGCAGCGAGTGCGCGTGCGCAGAGGGCATCTGCGGGAAGCCCCACCCACTTCCGGGCGCGGAAGCATTGAACGGCGGTCACTGGCCGAGGGTCTCCGCGCACTTGTGTTTTAACATCTTCCCCTTCGCATCCTCAAGCGTCTACTCTTGATTTCGAGGGCTTTAGCGACCGTTTCTCCCTCCGTCCGGCCATGTGTGCTTAGGGTGTTCTCCCTTCTCCGGCCGCCGTGGCCCTGCCCTGTAGAGACCGGGATCCCTCAGGCAGTGTTTCTTCTCCTTGACTGGGTGAAGAATCCGAGATAAATAAGCCTTTGCTTATTGGTAGCATTGCACTCCTTCACACCAAACGTTCAAAACGTTCATGGAAAAAAAAAGTATATCCTCAGCTATTAAAAACTCAGTGATGGAGCGGGAGAGATGGCTCGGCAGTTGAGAGCACTTACTGCTCTTGCAGAGACCCGGGTTCAAGTCCCAGCACTCAGGTGGTGGCTCAACCATCCTTAACTCCAGTTCCAAGAAATCCAAACTCCCCTTGCTTCTGTCAGAACTAGGCAGGCACGTGGTGCACATGCACCCAGACAAAATATTCAGACACGTAAATATTTAAAAAACAAAACTTAGTGGTTGCCCAATAACCAAGGGAAGATAAGCAAAACTGTTTATTTAGGTGATGAGGGGGTGAGGAGTTGCTGTCACTCGTCTTTTGGCAACCACTCAGACTTAGTAGAAGGCCCTGGTGTGCAGCCCGTGCTTGCCAGGGGAAACTGGGAGCCACTGGATGGAGCTGGGATATCTTATATGATTTGTCTTGGAAAGCATATTCTTTGACCATCCCCAGTTAGTCCTGAGTTGCAGGGACTAAATTAGGGAAACATGAAGATCTAGTAGCTTCTTGGATTGTTCGTCACCATCTGGTTTCCTAGACTGTTTTAGAAAAGAAGCTATTTTTCTGTGTAAGTTGTGGGTCACATTCTATTTTAGGTATGATCAGGCCATTGTCTTTGTGTAGTAAGTTTCGCAGTTAAGATATAAAAATGAGAGTTGGAGAGATGACTCAGTGTTTAAGAGCACTGGCTGCTCTTCCAGCGGCTTTGGCTCAATTCCTAACACCCTCATGGCTGCTCGCAACGTTCTGTAACTCTAGTTCCAGAGGATGAAGTGCCCTCTTTAGCTTCCATGGACACTAGGCAAGACACCCATTAAATAAATTTTTAAAAAATAACAATAATGATGTAAATATGTATGTTTGAAAGAAGATAAATGCAGTTAGAAGTACAAATATTGAAATCATGTTTGAAAGCAAACGAACTCATTGTTAGATTTAACAGATAAAATACTCTTGAAACATTAAAATGAATCAATGCTTTTACTTCCTGTGTTTCCTTCAAATCCTCACAGTGGTATCTGAAACTTTTCCCGGTCTGTCGTCTAGGCTCCATCCCTTTTGTTGCTAGTCATCCTGCCTTAGGGCCTTAGGCCTTCTTTCCTTCTCAAATTAGTTCCTCTGTCCCAGACAGTTTCAGAAACCATGATCCAGCTCTTCTGGCTCAGCCTTTTTTGGTTTTCCAAGACAGGGTTTTTCTGTGAAACAGCCCTGACTGTCCTGGAATGTGCTCTGTAGGCCATGCTGGCCTTGAACTCACAGAGACCCTCTGCCTCGTCTATATCTATGTTTATGGTTTATATGTCATTAGAGAAGCTGCAGAACTAGAACGGTGAATGCCATGACATGTGAAAGGAACACATCATCTTTAATGTTGTGACAATAAAGCAGACAGGCAATATAGTTTGTGCAATTTAACTGGAATAAAAAAAAATCCTTTTTTTGAGTAGCAGCTAATAATAAATGAAACATTATCAAACCATGAGGATTGCTATTGTGGTTTAAATTAAGGCTGTCCTTTGGAGATCGATGGTAAAGGCTTGGTTCCCTGCTTGGTGCTGTTGGAAAAATGCTGGGAACATTTAAAGGCTGAACCTAGCAGGAGGTTTTAGTTACTCAGGGTATCTCCTCCACAGCTACGGTGGCCCAAAAGTAACTGAACCAAACTGTAAGCTAAAATAAGTCTTTCCTTTTTCAAATAGTTCATTCATCGCATGTCCTTGTTGCACTAACAAAGATGACAACAGACTCAGACTTGGTGACTATGTAAATTCAGATAATCTGTGAATCTGAAGACCGTCGATCCTGAATGATCACAAAGCTCATTTTTCACCTTCACTTGTGTCGTCTGCCAGGAAACTGGATCTGTGGATCTGTTTTAACTACAATAGGCAGGAGCTCTAGCAGCACTTCCTAGTCGGGACCTCCAACCTGCAAGTAATGATCCTGCCAGTCCACAAATAATGACATGGAGACTTGTTATTAATTATGATTCATTATGATGGTTCATATTGTCAACTTAGCAGAACCTAGATCACCTAGAAGACAAACTCCTGGCCCTGTCCGTAGGAGTTTCTAGATTAGGTTGAGGCAGAAAGACTTCTCCTAACTGTAGGTGGTCCATTCCATGGGTCCGGTGTCCCAGGTTGATGCCGTGGTTTAAATGTGAAATAACCCTCATCACTTCTTGTAGTTAAATTAAATGGCTGCTGTTTGGGAAGGTTGTGAGACCTTTAAAAGGTGGAATGTTGCTGGAGGAAGAGGGTCACTGGGGGCAGGCGTGGAGTTCCTGTTTACACTTCACTCCTGACTGGATCCAGTGTGACCAGCATCTCCTGCCCCCATGCTTCTCCTATCGTGAAGGGGTGTATCTACCCTCAAACTGTAAGCCACAACAAGCTCTTCTTCCCTTGAGTTCTTGTCGGGTATTTTTTTTTTAATCGCAGCAGCAAGACAAGGAACCAACATAGCTGCAGTGAGACACTGTCTCCTTGTGCGATCGGGAAGGTACTGGAGGGATAGCTATAACTGGGCTAGGCAGTGAAGAATTGTTAAGATTGTGAGTGACGGCGCTCGGCGGTGAAATCACGTGCTGTGCTGGGTAGCTTTGTGTCAACTCAGTGCAGGCTAGAGCTATCTGAAAGGACAGACCCTCAACTGAGAAAATGCCTGTCAGATCCAGCTGTAGGGCATTTTCTTAACTAGTAATTGATGGGGGAGGGGAGGGCCCAGCCCACTTGGGGTGATGCTATTCCTGGGATGGTGGTCCTGGGTTCTATAAGAATGCAGGCTAGTAAGCCAGCCATCCCAATTAAATGTTTCCTTTAAAAGAAAAAAAAAAAGGAAGGAAGGAAGGAGGGAAGCAGGCCAGTAAGCAGCACCTCTCCATGGCCTCTGCATCAGCTCCTGCCTCCAGGATCCTGCCCTGTTTGAATTCCTGTCCTGACTTCCATCAGTGATGAACAGTGCTGTGGAAGTGTAAGCCAATAAATAAATAAATAAATAAATAAATAAATAATAAAAAAAAAACTCTCCTCTCCAACTGGCTTTTATTTCATTGCATCAATAGAAACCCTAAGATACATGCTTAGTATGCCAAAGGGCCTGGGTTCACTCCCCAGTACCCCCTTCAAAGTATTCACTAAATCATAAAGTCAGAAAACAACAACCTGGACATGTGTGTATGAAGTAAAAGTCACAGCATATTTGAGACCGCATTCCAGTCTGGGCATGTCATGGGGCACAAACAAAAGGAGAAAATCGAGCAAGTTTGAGCCCTGACCATGTTTTCAGTTGTGGGTAGGCTGAGCTTAAGGTGACAGCATTTACAAGCGGTGCCCAGAAGCTGCTGTGAGTAGTACGGCCTTGCCAAAAGGAAGAGCTCGGGTGTGAAGGTGCTGTGAAAGGTGAAGGCTAGGCTGCTGAAGCCAATCCTGAGCATAGCACATGCCCATTAAGGATCCCCTCCACCATTCCCGGCAGCCCCAGGAATCCAGCTCCCTGTAATTCTCAATGGAAGCAGCAGAGGGCAGCAAAAGCACTGAGTTCCAACAAACTTTCCATGGCCGGAAAGCTTCATTGCCAAGGAAGGTTGCTGGGCATTTTGTCTCCAACCAGCAGTGGATGTTCTGGATGCTGAGGGAAAGATCAGACATCTGTGCCCAGTGTGCCACAGATCCATCCTCACCTTGCAGGTAGAGGTTCCTGAACAAGGCAAAAAGGACCTCTATTTGGCATCCAGAAAGGTCACATTTTGTTACAGTTTGAGGCGAAACGACCCCCAGAGGCTCAGGTGATTGAATGTTTACTCCCCAGATGGTGGTATGATTTAGGGGAGGCTGTCAAACCTTTTGTGTAAAGTGGATTTGTGTTACTTTATTGAGATCTAAGGTAGGATAGATGAAGATAGGTGTTAGATCTTTTCTTTTAAATGAAATAAGACATATTAAACTATATGAGACAGCCTGTGTAACTTAATTGAAGAACATTCTTAGGAATGCATCAGTAGGCATTTTGAAATTAGGAAACTATCACAGCGTGTACTAAACAAAATGGGACAACTAAGATGTCACTGGGCATCTTCATTTTTCTTAGAAAACCAGATTATGTGACGACCAACTGCTGGTGAGCCAGTTCAGCAGTATTCAAAGTGTGGTCCATGAACTAGTGACTGTCTGTGCACTGTTAACTGACCAGTCTGTGGGACAAATATGCAGAACCATTACAGCAACTTGACAGCTACTTTATGTCTATTGGGTCTAGTAAGCGAACTTGGGAGTTTATGTTCTATATATCTCTTTATTATTTCAGTTTTCTAGTAATTGGTGGCTCATCACTGGTCACATGATCAGTCCAAAAAAAGTCCTATTGTAGAGAGTGTATAGCACAGAAGTAAAAATTCATAGGAGATACACACACGAGAGAGAGAGAGAGAGAGAGAGAGAGAGAGAGAGAGAGAGAGAGAGAACAAATGTAGCCTCATCCACATAGGGAGGGAGTTCCAGGTAAGACTTGATTTTTATAAAGAAGTTGTTATTTAGGGATATGGGACAGATGTCCAGAAATATTGTCTTTACAAAGAGGGCATTAGCAGAATTTGGGCAGGAGAGA